ACTCAGTTTGGAGAAATARATATGAAAGACGAGTTACAGACTTAACCGAAGTTCTGTGGTTATTTGTGAGTGAAACGCTGCAGCTGGGGTGGAGCCAGCCCTGGTACATGATTGGCCATCTAGTTGATTGACAAGTCACCACATGTTGCATTRAAAGATGCACACTTAGTAAACGAGAATTGCACAGGAAGTGTCCGTCWTGTGGTCGTCTTGTCTGGTGTGGTGAGCACCAGTCAGTGTGGTGAAGGACAGACAGAACTGTTTTGAACCAAAAAGCAACAATTGTGTGAAATGGTTCTGATTAATAATAATAAAAAACTACGGCAACATCTAGTGGTCAGTCTTTAACGTGGCAATGACATGAGACAGAGGGCCTGTGATGGACCTGCGACCTGTCCGTGGTGCACCCCACCCCTCGCWCTGTCGCACAGTGACTGCTGGATCTTAGCACCAGTGACCCTGAAAGGAAAACGCAGGTAAAAAGATAAATGAATGGCTGGATTATTAGAGGGCGAGAATTTAAGCAGAAGTTCAACAAGTTAACAATAAAAGCTCTTTGTGCATCTTAGTGTTTTGTTTTTGAGACCTCAATAATATTTGTGTTACAATATGAACATGCGTTATGTAATAGAGTTCTGGTGCAAGATGAATTAACTCACTACATAGAATGATTGCCCTCACTCCACCTTAATGTCTCTGCCACTTCCTGTTCTGTCTCCTATCTTTTTGTTAATGCCACTGTCTTCTAACCATACAACATAGCTGGTCTCACTGCAGTCTTGTAGCCTTTTCTGTGAACTTTGACATCACCCAAGTCTACTGGACCCACAAAGTCCAAAGGGGCCACTGTGGATGAGTGGTTAGTGGGCAGGAAGTGATAAATCAAAAAGTTACAAAAATCWCCAATGCTGAGCCACTGTTGTTCTTCAGTATTGGTACACATTTGTTTTCACCATCTGATGTATGAAAATTTTGCAAGACTAGATCTTCCATCACTGATTAGTCTACGAAGAACCTCATTTTTTTCATGGCAGGACATCAAAACCTGCTTGGCAGTCACTATAGTATAGTTTAAAAAAAATCTTGATTCAGCATCATCTGTCAACAGCTGGCTTCCTGTTGAAATGTAGCCTTTTTTATCCAACCAGTATACCGAAAGTGCTTTGCTCTACAATCTGTGCCCTCATTTATCCGTCCACACAGCACTTCATCTCTCTACCTAGATRGATCATTCTACAGAGACTAATCAGTGCTYTAAATCCCACTCATACACTGATGGGACACACATGAAGGGCAGTGGGGCTTCAGTGTCTTGCAGAAGGACACTTCAACATTGATTAGTGGAAAAATCAAGCCGCCAGCTCTCTCTTTGCAGGACCACTCCCTCTAACCTAAGTTTGCTTCTACTGTGTTAGAAAACTTATGATAAGACTTTCTCAAACCTCACAGATGTAGTAGGCTGAAGACTTCTGGAACGTTAACTTGAGATCACAGTGCCACCTACAGGTAACAACAAGTACATAAAATAATACAAATGACACCCATAACAAAACCCTTAATCTGTGAAAACTTAAAATSTTTCTCAGCTGCATAATAAGAATCTTTGTCTTTTATTGTTTTTTTTACATTTAAGTTGTAACAATGTGAATGCTGACTTAGTGTTCACATTTTCAGCTAATYAGCTACATTATTCATGTATGAAAATGGTCTTCAGAAATTGCAGCTATGTTTGAGTTTTGTTACTTTTATGCTTTTTGAATTGTTTAACTGTGTTTACAATTTTTCTCTCAGAAATGTATTAGGATCATTGGTTCTTTGAAAAAACAGTGGTACTTCAGGCCATGCTTCATGTTTTCCTTGGTAAATGCTTTGTACATATAAAGCGCTTCAACAAGTCCCTTTTAGCTTTTGTTCCTCTGTAGGTACATTTCTGTTGGTTTGAACTTTTGACTATTGTTGTTTTTTTGCTTTCGTCTTTCCTAATTTTAGCCATTGTTTTTGATAATTTCAGTTTCTTCAACCAGTTTCAGCTGTTTGAAGAAAATGCTAATTTCGTTAGTTTTCACAAATATTTTCTCAGAATTACAGCTTTCTCAACTCAAACTGCAAATTGAAACTAAGATTTCATGTCTACAAATTTTCCTCAAATCTTTTGCTGCCATTAAAAAAAAATTAATAAATGATTTGACAATTTTTGAAATTATTCATGTTCTTGTTCCAGTTTACAAACAAAAACAGTCGGTTGTTTACTTTTCTTGTCTTCAACTTTATTGAAGCACAACACTTTCAAGTAAGTCGCAGCTTTCAGCACTACCAGTGTGATCATTAGTAGTGGTTAACGTAGACAACATGGGTCTGGACCACCAAGCGTCTTTTGTTGTGCAGGCTATTTCACATTTAAAATTTCCAGGAAAAAAAAAAGAAAAAAAAAGATAACAACAAACTGCATCACATTAAAAGAGGAAGATAAGTCACACTGGTTGATCATTCACTGAAACAAAAACAATCCTGGCAAGACATTTGATTATCACTTTTTACATTCAGTCTCTAATCGTTATACAAAGGTTGCTGTGCTTCAGATTTCATTGTTCGTGTTTCAGAATCACATGTGAAATCAACAGGTTCAACAAAAACAAAACAAAACAACAAATAGAAGATGCCTCAGAGAATCATGCGTAACTTGGCTACGTCGTTCCTTTTACATTTATACAGATAAATACTGTCGGTTCATCGTCGCAGTTATTTAAAGAGGCAATCTTGGTTGTTCTAACCTGATTCAGTTCTTAGTACAGACCACAAAGTTAACGTTAAAGAGATAGTTTGGACATTTTAAATTGGAGTTCTGTGCAAAAGATTATTAACATTTAGTTTCTTACCTGTTGCAGATAAGAGTTTAATTTGAATAGGGTTGAAAAGTTGAAAAGCTAATGGTTAAGTCTAAACTGTACCAAGACCAAAGTGGATCATTTGTATTACATTACACACGTTTAATTAGAATGTAATAATAGGCGCAATAGTAGCAGCAGCAGCAGCTGTAGCACTTCCAGCAACATTTTCATGAAAGTTTCAGCTGAATAGCTGCACACGAACATAAAAAAATTATTTGCTCATTCACGTTCCACAGAACTCCGCTTCTAAAGAACTGAACTGCCCCTTTAACTCACCGTCATTTCCAATTAACCATGCACGAGACTGAAATTGAAATATAGTTCTTATAAAATTTCGATACAAAACCCAGTCTGTGGATTAGTAGACCTTGTACTTCTCACTGTGTGAGAAACCTGAACCAGAGAGCACTTTCAGTCATAACTGAGTGAAGAGAAAACAAAACAAAACAAAAAAACAAATTGCATGATGCTGTGCAGGAAGTGCCTTAACATCTCGGCTCACTCGGTCTCTGTAAAATCTCCCACATTTTTGTTGTAAGCAGACYGACTTTTCACAGCTTTGAGTCCTGGAGGCTGCAGGAATGAGACCGAAGCCATGTAATTATCTACACGTCGAGCTTTAAAGAGCTTATGTCGAAACCATATTGATTGCCTTTCTTCTCTTTAACAAGTGCAGTCATCTAAATGCCACTGAAACAGCACATCCCCAAGTTTTTGAGGCATGCCGCTCTCTTTAAGAGAGCACGAACCGAGGGATCAGCTTTGCGTTATAATACTCAGCCAGATAATAACCGTTTAGGTGGGTTAGAAAAATATACACTAATGTACATGAGATGATCGCTTGATATTATACCAGAACTTTCATCCGTATCTGACTGCATCATGTCCAGTGTTTGTGAAAAGGCACAAGATCCTGCAGCCCCTCCTCTGTGGTGACAAACAGAAATCCCAGAGTTCCACAGGTCATGTGCTTTATGTTTTCCACTATGAAAATACCATCTGATAATCTCAGGCTGTTAAAACTGTCCAACTAAATACAWAAACAAGAGCCAGTTTTACTTCAGGGCTGCACGATATAGCCAACTTCCTCTAGCAGCGTCTCCATTCAGGGTGGCTGGGAGCAGGTGTCTATTACCACCAAATGTGAGAGGCGGGGTCTCTCACAACTCCTCCACCATCCTCACTCTAACCAAGGGACAATTTAAAGTTGCCATTAAATGCAACATGCATGTTTCTGATCAGTGGAGAAAACCCAAATGTGCAAAAACAGGACATGCAAACTGAAGTTAATACCGCACCAAATCAGACACAAACTGCACACGTCAACWCCCCCGATCACCCAAATCCAATTTAGATGAAGGTGGGATTCCTGAAGTACGTGCAGTGGTTGGAGGATTGTCATAAAAAAAGAAAAAGAAAGAAAAATAAGAAAAATGTGGGTTTCTCTTAAGTGATAGTTATTGCAATATTCAAAAATAATATTACTTGTCTTCTTAGTCATGCAACCCTATGTAAATATATTGTCCAGCACTGAAGATGTTTACAATGAAGATGAAAATCTCTTTCAGACAAATACGTGCTTTAATGCTAATGATTAGATCAAAATTTTAACCTATGAGTAAATAAGTTGCAACACAATCATCATACGTCAACACAAGTTGTCTAATGTGACAGGTCCTTTACAGAATCTGGTATAATCACGTGGAGGAGCTCATWAATACAACAATAAGATGAAATGGGTTTGAAAATTATGGAACCTTGTTGCTGTTTTTATTTCAAAAATAAAATAGAACCATATCCTGGTATGTGAAAGGTTTATTATTTGAACAATATCTTGTTTGTTATAAACATGATTTTTATACTGTATGTTCTTATAACATTATCATAATTTAAATGCTGATTGTAATAATTTGAAAAGTTTTCTTGTTCTAACATGAGTTAAGTATTTTTGGGATAATGTGGAAACATTTTGTAACCATGTAAAAAATATAATGCAACATAAAAATATCATTAATTTGATATTTTTACATTTAATAGTCATAGAACAAAATGTTTATTCATATTTATCACAATGCTCAATAAATGTTTAAAATATATTACGCGAAAAAAATATACTAATAAAATTCAGTTTTTATTTGAACAGTATCTTTTACCATGAAATTTTTATGTTCCTGCAACATATTTTTCAACAATTCCACAGAAATACAATAACCATACTTATTTTGTGACTACATTTACAATATGTTGTCATAAGATGAAAGCATTGCTCAAAAAATTTATTATAAATGTGATATGTATATTGTTATAACATAAAACAATTTTAAATATAAAAATATATTGTAAAAACACAAAAACATGTTTTACTGCAAAAAAGTTTCAATTCAAAATGCATAAATTTTTCCGTGTTACCACAACATACACATTAATAACAAGAAAATGTTAACGTTTGAGCAATATGTCATGATAGAACAATATTACCATTATATTGCAATAACAAAARGTTTTGCTGTAACATCAGTACATTGTTATAACCTGATTTTTAGAACATAAAAAAAGCTTTTCATGATAAAATGTGATATGGTTCTATTTTATTTTTGCAGCAAGCTGCTTCCATAGAATCTTAGAAAAATTTAAAACATAATAAATATTGAGCGTGGCATTTATAACCGGCCTGTTTGGCTGACTGCTCATTGACTTCTTGCCAGTTCAGTTTAGTAAATTCGAAATAAATTAATTTGTTTCCTGGTGATTCTGATGGAAATTCGGTTTAGTGTTTCGACAGGAATGAAAACCTAGTTAGGATTTTTTTCTTCTTAAACACAAGTCACACAACATGTATGCAATACTTACAGTGATATAAGTAAACATACAGTTTAAACAGAAAATCTGAAGATCAATCATYCCTGCCATCCACTTGTGAGACAAAAGCCATATATGAACCATCCCTGTCTTTCTCTGTGTACCGTAGTTAGTTCGTAGTTAGATCATCCCTCAGGAACTATTTCCATATTTGTTAATCCCAGCTGTGGCACCCGTCATGTAGGAGAGGCATTACTACAAGTCTATGCAGACAACACCTGCATAGATTCTGAATGTTTAAATACTGGATAAACATGCACCAAGAGGAGAAATAATCAAAAAATACAAGAAGTCCATGCTTTGATTATGCTCTGGAAGTGGAAGACAAACCTCTGTTTAGCACTGGATTAATGCAATAAAAAATTTGATGATATTTGTCTATGTTGGGCATTTCACTGAGGCTTCACACAAATATGTCAGTCTTATCATGCTCTATGCTGATGATATACAGTTTATACAGAAAAAATAAACATGCAGGATACTGTTATTAAACCCTGGTGCATCCAATTTCATTTAAACAGGACATTTTGGGGGAAAAATGACATATTGCTAGCAATCATATTGCTGACATTCTGCCAAAGAGCCAGCACCGTTTTACAAAGGGCACCAGGTTTARTGTACATATTACGCGATATACTGTAGTTGAGAAAAGCATCAGAAAACAACAAGTGAAAATGGATTTAGGAGTAGATTTTTCTGTCAGTTCGGATCACAGTGTCACTGAGAACAGAGATGTTTGTTTTGAGAGATTCACTGATTGTGAGGAAAGCGAGGCTGCTGTTTTACTGAAGTCCATTAGAGACAGAGATTTCATGTCAAGTAACAGATAAAATTGTATAAAACCATAAACCGATGAAGGGATTTACAGAGTCTTTGTAAGGCAGGGGGAGAGGTAGAACAAAAACATTCGATCAGAGGCAGAGGGTTGCAGTGGATCTTGTATTACTGTGACTGCTAATCCTGAAACCAAAATACACAAGAAAAAAAAAAAACAATCATATGAGACGGATGTCAGAGTGAGTGTGTTTTTGTTCTTTTCTCCTGAACTCTTAGTGTTTGAACCCATAAAACGGTCAGAGGGCGTGGCTGGTGACAGAGAGAGGCGCTACTTGTTCCAAGGAGGCCACAGCAGGTACAACTAGGAGAGGCAATCTGGTGGTTTTTCTGTCTCGTGCTCTGAGGTTCGACGAGTTTAAGACAAGAGCCCTATAGGTTGATGCAAATACTGTGTGGGTCTGAGAGGTCTTTGCTCTGAAGGCCAGCGCCTGCACGGACGGAGATTGGGATGCCAAGAAGAAGCTTCCAGTTGTCCAGGGAGGATTGTTTATCTGAAGAGGCTCAACTTTTTACAGACAGTTTGTTTGATCTGACTCCTCCAGTATTATTGCTTTCCTGTTTTGTCCACAGGCACTTGAGAGGATTGGGCTTTGGTTGAAGTTGAGCGTGAGAGCAGACTAGGGGGTAGCAGATGGGAGTGATGGAGGGGGGAGAAGAACAGATGTTGTTTAAAGTGTGCTTGTGAACTCTACCTTGTCTGAAACCAGAAAGCTTCCTCCCAGCAGTGGAATAATCTTGTCACTGAAAACAGTGAGGCTGCAAACGCTGGTGCTTAAGTGAGTCAAAGGGGACTCTCCTCCTCCCCAGTCGGGGTCAGAACCTGAGGACTCTGAGACTTAGGAGGGGGCGGGATGCTGAGATTATAGCAACAGCCAGAAGCTCCTAAGAACCCAGCCTTTCTGATTTTGTCCGAGCCTGAATATTCATCCTTCCACATCAGTCTGTGTGGTTGTTCGCATGCTTCTCCTCTGCACAAGATGGTTTCTCCGCTTCAACTTTTCGCCCTCCTCTCCCTGTCAGGACTTTGTAGCAGCCACGGGCGATCTTGTACATCCAGATTGTGTTCAAGATGTCCAGAGCGATGCATGAGGTGATCCAGGCCACCTGGGCGCCCAGGCCCAGCCGCTCAAATTCTGGAGTGCCAAATGTGGCGAAAACGCTCACCCAGTAGGATGGCATGACTGCAATGCGTACTACGAAGAACACCACTGCCATAGCCACGCCATTTAGTACCACCATCTGGTGTGAACGGGGGTACTTTAATGCCTCAAAGAACCACCTAGAGAGAAAACGGGATTTTAAAACTTGTTTGAATTTACATGAATCAAGCAGACAGATCTTTGGTCTCACCTTTGATTTACAAATGGCGTGGATAACTCTGAAATAAGACGAAAATTGGCAAAATAGGGAAGAACGCCACGGGTCTGCAGTGACAGAAAATACTTATGGGGCAAACGGTTGTTGTGTAACTAAAGGAGTTTTAAAGTTCACATTATTACAGCATGCGACTTCAAAACAGATCAACTTACCAAGACGTATCCGTAGGCGTAGAGCGCCGCCAAGTGGTGGCAGACAAAAAAACTGTCACCCATYGTGCTCCAGTTACATGCAAGCAGCACAAGGTCTGGAAAAGTGGAACAGGTGAGAGACCAAACAGGAGTAATAAGGTTACACCTTAAACCTATTTAGGCAATGAATCTGAACTTTAAACAGTTGATATAATCTTAAATAATCTTGAACTTACAGTGAAATGTTCTCCATAAACAGTAAACAGACTAATGTTAATCTGAAAAAACATGAGGGCTGTTGTCTTTTTATTTTACTTTTAAAAACACACTCATGAGAAGTATTTTTTACAATAAAATACACATATATTAAAAAATAACTTCATTATTGTCTACATAGAAAAAACTTGATGTACTGCAAAGTTTCCCAAAAGGCAATAAAATTAAAATGTACCGGATAGTCAGTATTAAAAATGCACTATCAACTGACTGCTAATCAGATTTCTATGATTTATAGGGTGGCAACT